GAGTAGGGTCTGGGGAGGGTGTGTGTACGCAGACCTTGCCCCTACTTGAAAGTAGAGAGGCTGTTTCCAAAGAGACCCCCGGCTCAACGTCGAAAGTTGCATTGCTTGACTACCTGCTACTTCATTAATTAAAGAAGCGCAGACAGTTTAGAGATCCATTTTGATTTATTCCATCACACCCCAAAGCCAAAAAATGGTGAAATTTTGGCTCCATCGGAGACGATGGAAATTATGGACATGCTTGCATAATGCATAATATATGAATAATAGAGTCAAGATTCACAAACTTTCTAATTATAGTAGGCACACTCTTTGTGATTATGACTCCCTATGTCCCAAAATGGAAGTAAATATCCACTATTCATGGATCAAACTTTATCCTCTTTCATTGCATTTTTTGTTACTCATTCCGTAAAATAATATATCCACGTCATCTCTTGTTTTGTAGATTTTTATCTAGTTTTTAAATATATGAATTTTATTTTTGAATCTTACACCAAGACATAACTAATTTGAATTGAAAATAATTCCAGTCAGGCTTCGGTTACCATAAAGTGACATCTATTTGGGACGGAGGGAGAATTAGGCTTAGAACCACACTCTAACTGTGATACAAGGCGGGACATGGCTACTAGTGCAACACAAGGCATCAAGATTTACATTTGTCGAAGTTAATATTACCGATCTCATGTTAGAGGCATATAGGAAAGATCAACTGATCGAATGCACAAAGCCACAAATTAAAATATTCGGACTAAACAAATTGAAAACCTGTGACTTAATCTTTCACCTTGCAACAGACCACAAAAAAGTTTGTCAAACAGCCCTCCAAAATTGCATCTCCATCGTTCGACAACAAAAGCTCATCAACTGAAGGAGACCTCAACTTCTCCAAAAGCTTCCTCTGCCTACCAAAAAAAGGAAATTAAAACAAGTACCGATGTCAAAGAAAGTTCAACTGTGTTTGTCCTCCTACATCTTCAATTTATATTAATTCTGACTATAATGTCCTTAACAAATCCTCGCTGAAAACAAATAACAGGACATGCTAGAAATAGAAATTTGTTTGGTATTGCACTATTACCTCACCCAGTCTGAATATTTTGCATTTGCTACCTCTCTGCCACAACCAGCAACTGCCAACTTTGCCCCATTTACTAAATTTCCAAATGTTTTAGGAACATATCCACCAACATGCACGTACACATCGAAAATTCGAGAGATATGCTCCTCATTTAATCCCTCCAAATCCCTAACATTATAAAAGTTGCCAGTGACGAGTGATGTGATAGCTAATTCCTCTTCATCCTTCCTCTCTGTTAGTACAACAGGCATAACCTTTTTCATTGAATCATTGACCAGGGACTGAACCAGTGAATCCCATAGGGGTGATGGTGTTGACATTGAGAAGTATGGAAAGGTGGCTTTCGGGACTTTGAACATAAGTCTTGGGTTGGATTGTAGAAGAATGGTCACAGAATTTGAGAGCCTTCTCAAGTGCCTTTCCCAAAACAAGAGTTGTGATCCATTGTTATGAGTACGGGTGGTCGTGTATGCGCCTGAAACCAAATCACCAGCCACATTTTGATGTGCCTTCTGGGTTTTTTACAATAAATTATATTGTTCATGGTAGTTGACCATTGAACAATAAAAATTCCAATAAACGAACCATTTTCGTTGAATGGCAATGCTGTCGTGATGAGCAACTAGTAGTTAACAAAGAAAGCACACATTTGGAAATGACAAACAAAAAAGGATCTATACCCGGGTGAGTTTCGAGCAAGGTAACCACAGATGGAGTTTCAGCAGAAGTTGAAATTACTCCATTTCTAAACAGAAAACTGCAGCATTTCGACATTATTATCTTCTCTGCTGAACACGGACTAGCTCACTCGGCTGTGCCAAATCAATCTTTTGTCTTTACAAGAGTTACAACTTCTGTGGACAAGCGATTCAAATCCCTGCTTGGCAAATCCACAAACACTTAGAATGTAGTCCTAGATTGTTTAGTCAACCCCTGGTTTTATTATTATAACGCCCCTCAGAGCTCAGAAGGGCTGGAAGAAACCTCGGTGCTGCCTCGGGGACGAAGAAAGGGACAGAGTCTTTGGGCTGGAAGATGAGATGACGGGCTGATCGGAGGCATAGAACGCCGGCGGCGGCTAGTTGCAATTAAGTCTGATGTCATTTATTTAGGCGGATGTCATTTCATTAGAGTGACATCCAACCATTTAATTTAACCATTGTGGATTGTAAATTTGTATGATAGATGCATCGACACCGCTAAGGTGTCCTGTTTGAAAAGCAACACTGAGTTTGACTTTAAATCAAACACTCCAAAGTCAAAATCAACTTGTGGGGTGCAATTGAAGGGGGTGGGGGGGTGTGTTCGGGTCGGGGCCGGGGTGAGGGGTTTACCGGGGGGGTTAGGGGGGGTAGGAACCGTCAATTTTACGAACGGGACACCGGAGCTGCCCCGGGTCATCCTATGACATTAAGGTTCAATGTCATTTGAACCTTGGTGCCGTTAATTTTAGGTGAGTTAAAGCTAAAAAAAGTGATACTAAATTTGATCCCTTCATTTAAAAAGTTATTAGAATCAATGGCTGAGATTGAAAAGGTCATCCCATGACATTTAAAGTACATGTCAGGTGAACCCAGCCGGTATAATAATTGTGTAAACGGGGTAGATAATAATTTTGGGATAGACACAAAAAAAACATTATGAAGATTATTTTAACAAGGATGAAATAGCATTCATTAGAGCATCTCCAAAGGGGCTTGTTATTTGTGGCTTGCTATTGCTTTTTTTTAGCAAATGAATAGTGGTATAACAAGCTACTTTTTGCTTTCTTTTCCAACCATGACTTGTTATATTAAACTCTTTTTATCCAAAAATGCTTTACTTATTTTGATCAACGTGCAAAACTTCATGGCTTCTAAAATGATTTTATTTACAAATCTGTAAAAATAAAAAATTATATTTAAAATTTACATAAAAACTCTAAAAAAATAAGAGCTGATAAGAATATTTTATTTTATCAACTGAACAATGAAAACACGCAAACAAATAAGAATTATCGAGATGCCATAATAGTAAATGGGTAATTTTTTTGGGGACAAGCTAAGGGTGTAACTAACAAATATATTTTGTTCCAATAACCATTATAATACATAAAATATAAAAGTTCTCAAATTGTATTTATCCATGTAAATGTAAAACAAAAGTACTCCCTCCGTCCGGTAAAGAATTTCTCATCCTACGTTTTTCTCCCTCCGTAAAAGAACTTCTCATTATACGTTTTCATACCCAATCTTCTTAAAATACCTCTTCCTAAAATAAAGGTATGTAATTAAAAAAATATAAAATAAAATGTTTCTATTTAAAATAAAATAAATCAAACAACTCTTCTTATGGTAAATCACATTCACATTGGGAAAAATATGTTATACGGAGTATTTGTCCAAGATATCATTGCAAAAGAAATTTACATTAATTTGTTTAGCTATATTCTAGCATGCTAGTTATAAATAGCAAGTTGTTTTCATTTTTTAACAAGCTAGCCAAATTTTGAATAACCCCTTGGAGCATGGAATTTCGAATATGCTTGTCAAATTATAACATATAGCAAGCCATTTTGCTATGGTTGGAGATGCTCTTACTCTCTACGTCCTATAAAATTTTTAACCGTTTGATTTTTTTGGTCAAATCAGTACACACTTTGACTATTACAGAGTAATAGATATAGTTTTAAATAAGTAAATGTTACGGAGTATAAAAAACTGACATATCAAAACTACATATTAAAATTAATTCAATTATTCTAAATTCATGTTTTAGGTAAATAAACCTTTTCAACCATTGGTGGTCAAAATCTATAAAATTGATTTAAAAAGTGAAACTCTAAAGAATTTTATGGGTCGGAGAAAGTATTATTTACTCCGTATATTTTTATGCTTTATGATATTTCATTTATGATTAATATTGTACTCCTTCTATACCTAAAACAATGTCACAGTCTGATTTTTAGTTAAACTATAGCAAATTTTTACTACGGACTAAATATAGTTTAAAATAATTAAATATTATAAAAATATGATATTTTAAAATTATATTTTAAAATAAATCTTTTTTTTTGAAAGATATTTTAAAATAAATCTAATTTTACTAAATTTAAATTATAACTGAATATACTTTTTTCATGATTTATGGTCAAAAGGTATCATAGTTTAACCAAAAAAGTTTAACTTGCGAGAATCTTTTAGAGACGAAGAGAGTATAATACTCCGTACAATTTATAAATATATGAATTTTGTTAAATGTATGTTTAAAATAATACTATCTCCGTCCCGCTATATTCGTCCACTTTTGACTTTTGAAACTGTTTATCTAAGCACTTTGACTCATCAAATTCTCTCAATGTGTAAGCCTAAATATAGTCATGTGTGATCTTGTTTGATTTGTCTTAACATATAGAATATTTATATATAATTTCTATAATTTTTTAATATACAAATTATAAGATAAAATGGATTAAAGAAGTGCATTGAATGGTGTGCAAAAATAAAAGTGGACAAATATAGTGGGACGGAGGGAGTAACTAGTACTCCGTATTAGTTTACTAAAAAAATTGTACTATTTTTTTTTTTGAAATTCTCTTTTCATTACTTTTTGGTTTTCCGGAAATCTACTCCGGTATACTTATAATTTAATTTAACCAAACGATCTCGTTTCTTTTTCTCACTTTTTTTGAAAACTAAGAATTTTGTTTGACCCGTAATTCTGACGTCCGATCTCTCCGTCCCGCCACCACAGATTCTAGCGGTTGCCAGAACCCACAACACAGAACTTCGCGCCCAAAATTCATTCAGGAAAAAATATAAAATAAAATAAAAAATGAATAAAAAACTCTCTCTCTCTCTCTCTCTATCTGTCTCCCTCTCCGGTATGTACAAAAAATGGCGAATTTTAATCCGCTGCATATTCAATCGAATAGAATATTTAATTTGTGTTAATCTGGGGTCATGTTTTCATCCCAGGCCACTTAGGTTTCGGAAGCGGATCGGAGCAGGCTAGGGATGGCGGCAACTCCGGCGGCAGCCGGAAGCCACCGGAGCCCTCCGCCGAAAGCCGCCGAGAGATCCCTTCCGGTTGCAAACGTGGGGCGGATAATGAAGAAGGCCCTCCCTCCCAATGCAAAAATCGGCAAGGACACGAAGGACGTTGTCCGGGAATGCGCCTCCGAGTTCCTCTGCTTCATCACCAGCGAGTATATATATATCTTACTTTCATCATCATCACCCCTACCTCCCCACCCACATATGAGAAGGTATATGGTACAACCGGCTGTACCTAGGAATAGGTACATCCAAGTGGTACTCATTTTGGAGTAAAGTAGTACCCTTTCTTGCACAAACAGAACTGTTTATTTTGAAATAACGTAATACTCATTCTGAAATAATGTAGTACTCATTTTCACACATTTATTTCATACAATTATAATATTCATCTACGAATAATATAGTGTTTATTCTGAAACAAAATGGTACTCATTCTCAAATGAAGTAGTGTTCAATCTCGATTAAAGTACCGCTCAATCGCTCATTACACCCAGTCTTAAATCAATTTGTTACCCTTCTTCATCTTCCTCACCCAAAACCTAAACTATTTCCGACTAAATTTTATAGCCACTTTTCCAGTAAACCCCACCAATAAGTTCCATCTCGTATACAAAATAATACAATTACCTTCCCTATTATCACATCACCATCACCTTCTCCACCATCATCTTCATCATCACCTTCGCCGAGCTGCTCCAACTCTGTACTGCCTTCGTTTTCCGATTAGAGGGGCTAGGGTTTGATTCGATCGCGCGCTACTCTTAATCTCTAATTTTCGTCGGCTGTACGGTTCTTTCCGTACAGCTGGCTGTACGATATAATTTGCTCCCACATACACTCCGTTATCACAACCTATCCATCTCGACTGGTGTATTGGTCTTTGCTAGACAAGAACAATAAAGTAATCTAATACTCCCTCCGTCCCTAAATAAACTTCCGTTTTTGACTTTTTGAGGATTTAAGGGAGGGATATTTTGGTGTTAACTTTCCAAAAATACCTTTGATGTGATATGTAAAAGTAAAATGTAATATGTAGATTATTAGTAAAAAAGTATGATGAAAGAGGAAGTTTATTTAGGGACCGAGGGAGTAAAATACACCAATAGAACATATGAATTTTTAAGTGGAATCTCAATCGAGAGAAAATCACGGACTTTTTTTGGCGATACCTTGCCAACGAGAGATTTTTATTAATATCAGAGGTTATACACGGTACATGATTTGGGCTTAGAAGCCATTAATAGAGAACTTCTAAGTCTTGACGAAGAAGAAAATATACAATAAACAATCGAGAGAGAGAGAGAGAGATGGGCATGGGAGTAGTGTGGTGAGTTTGGTCTGGTTATCAATGAGAGGTCACTCTTCTTTTATATGTAAGAGAGAGAGAGAGCATCTTGGGGGAACATTTTATTATTCTCCCATTTTACATAACAAGTCCGGTCTGATTGGTATTCATAAATAATCGGAAAATTTGGACGGGTCAAGTATTATTTCCCATCACCACCCATTTTCTTTTCCTACACCAATGTGGTTGTTGTCTTGTTGAGAATATAATTATGTTTTAAAATGGGGAATGAGGTTTTACACCATTTACCTTCCAAGTCTTCAAAAATTGCATGAACTAATTCCCCCCTAAACTTTAAAAATTTCACTAATGATTCCTGAACTTTTAAAAATGTTACATCAATGGCCCCTTTACACCAATTATTAGTGCGTTAATCACACGCTCATCAATGTACCTATTCGAGGCTTGGAGATTGATGAAAATTTCATGAATTGATGAACATGCTGATTGACTGATGTTCAGGCTTCAAGTTCGGTTGCAGACAAGCGGAGGCTAAAGAGAAAATAATTATTTAGGGCTTCAAGATGTTAAAAAAATATAATATAATGTTTTAAAAAACATATTGCAGAACTCACATGTCATATATGAGTTTAAATGAATTCATACTCGCATTGGACGAGGGTCTGATTAATGCACTCCTAAATTTGGTGCGGAGAGACCATTGATACCATATTTTTTAAAGTTCAAGGCCATTGGTGTAATTTTTGAACTTTATGGAAAATTTGCACAATTTTTAAAGAGTTGGGAAGAATTATTTATTTCATTACATTGGGTGCCTATATGGATATATATGCCTAGCTAATAAATACGGAGGAGTATATAATAAATATATGTGATTTTGTGTGGCTAAATACTTTTCAATCACAGAGCAAGTGAAAAATGCCAAATGGAGAAAAGGAAGACAATCACCGGAGAGGATTTGATATGGGCAATGGACATCTTAGGATTTGATGACTACGTTGACCCACTCAAAGCCTATTTGACCAAATACAGAGAGGTAAACTCATCTCTTTGAACTACTTTTCTTATCAGGCTAAATTTCTTTTATGATAGAATCTCAAGTCTTATTTTTTTTTTAAAAAAAAAAACATGTTTGGCATTATTTTGCGGCAGTCTAGGGAAATTAGACTGAGATGATTTGGACAGGGATAAAATCTGCGTACACACTCTGTGGGATTTTTACTCGTCTGTTTTTGTTCATAATAGCCTAACTCACTCCTTGATATAATATGTGTGCATGTTACTTCTGGCTGGTGCCCTTTAATCAACCTAATGCATAGTTTGAGGTACATCTTCCACTCCATCATATAATTGCTCTATAATAATTTCCATAATATGCAATGTATTAAGGTAGATTCACTTTTTGTGTTGGAAGCATTTTCAGGGAGATAGCAAGGGATCTAATAGAGGATGACAGGAAAAACATAAAATATGAAGTTCAGTACCCGGAAAGAAATACAGTATCTGACCAGATGCACCAGTAAGAACTCATTCATCAATCCATTTTAGGAAGGTTTGTAGCCTTAAGAAGAAGTTGCACATATGTTAAATAACATGTGAAGTATGATTTGTTGCTCTTAATAAGCCATATTAACTTCAATCTCACTTATTTGAGTTCATCCATTTACATGTTCTAAGTACACAAGGCTAAGCCCAATGGAATGGCCAAATCTCAAATCTGTCTTCCCCATCTGGTTTAAAAAATGAACTTCTTGCTATAATTTACAGGTTGGTTAAGTTGCTTCATGCAGTAGATTTGCTTAAGATTGAATTTCTTATACATTTCATTATCAGATTTGAACCCTAATTCCATTGTTAAAAATAAAAATTGCAGCCTTAGCTTGGAACAACAGCATTTGGGTGTTTTCTGGAGCATATGGGCCCCTTTCTCCAGCTTCTGTTTTTTATTTTTTTAAAAAACAGATTTATGTACCTGCATTTATTTTCTAGGACTCTAAGAGTCATTATGTATTGTTGTACCTGCATTTGTTTGGGATTAGCTTCATTGTTTTGGAAACGCTATCCAACGGTAGCTTTTAGTCATAAGGTTTTTGAAGTTAATCTGCACGATTAAAAATCATTCAAGACTCTAATGCTAATTACAAGCGATATTCCTAAACAGACCCCACAAATATTATTAATATATGAACAATTCATACCTTCAACAAGCAGAGTAACAATGGCGACGATTCTCAGGGTACATTGTTTGGAAGGATTATTGTTACAAAAATGTAAAAATGGGGAATTACTCCGGAGTATAATTAGTCATTAGAAACTAATCATCACTCTCTAACTAAAGGTTCAGAGACCCCAAATGTACCTAAATACATAAATATGTTCATTCAAATGACAGACGATGTCCTAGAAACCGGTTTATTGAGAAGGTTTTGTTTCGCCAACTTTAGCTCGCTTCAGTGCTGGGGAATTGAAATCTTTCCCAACTGACTCATCATCTTCTTCGGGAACCCTTTCATGTGTGCCCAACTCAGCACTGGTTTCAACAGTGTCTGGTAGTGGTGACAATGTTGTTAGTTCTTCTTTCCCTGCCTTCCTTGTTTTTTCAAACATCATCTGAAGGTACCTCCCCTGTTCTTCTATCCTCAGCTGCAACTTTCTTTGTATCTGCCGGAAAACAAATTTTGAAAGGAAAAACAACCAAGGGCATTTCAGTCAGAAAAAATGAGACCCCCCTCTGTTTAACTTTACTAGCCTTAACAAAGCATACCTCAAGTTGTTCGTGAAGCTGCTTCTGTACTTCCATCTGCATCCGTAGTGCTTCTGTTATACCCATACTCCTGTTAAAGCCACATTTCATCTCTGCTTAGTCATCCACAACTGGTTTAGAACTATACTCCCTTCGTCCCAAACCAAACTTGTTTGCTTTTTGAATGGAATTCAGAAATACGAAATTATGTGGTTGAAATTTATAAACAAATTATACGAGCCACACAATTTTTTTCTTAAAAAGAAAATGAAAAGTGCAAAATTTATTTTGGGACGTATATAGGGAGTATGATAGGGGAGAGGGAGAGACACTCACGTTTTCATCTCTATAGATGCCGCATCAACAATTCCAGCTGGCTTCCCCTCCAACATTCCTGCAAAAAAGATACTTTTAATATTTTAGATTCTATCTTGAAAAAGTGGGGTTGCAGCCCAAGAATTAATAAATTTGGTCTATATATTTCTCCAAGGAACAAAAAAAAGAGGTATTATATTACCCTCTGAGGGCTCTGGTTTGTATTTGGCCGTCCTATACTTCTGGAAGCCAGACAAAAACATTTATAAGAACAATAAGAATTGCAGAGCTTAAGTAATTTAAAAGCACATCCGTATACCTGCAAGTGGCTTTTTACATGATATATAGTCAGCCCTTCGACATTCATGAGTTTAAGTACTGCCTTCGGAGTTGCCCCTATAATACAAAACCATAACAATTCGAACATAAGCTGCGACAAACTAGAAAATTATAACTAAAGCACAAGTTTAGGAAAGCCACTCACTTTCACTACCGCCGAGTTTATTGACAGCTACTACGAAGACTTCATGAAGTTCGGGTGTCCAACGCATGCGTGGCTTGGGTAGAGCAGCAGCAGCAGCAACAGTGGATGAAGGACTCGCAACAGCACAACTTTGTTCAGATAGTGTGGGAGTAGGTTGATGTTGAGTTTGGGGTTGTGGAATGATGAGGGGTAAATCGGGCAACGGTAAAAGCAGCTGGTGTACATCATGCGTAAGATCTATGTTTAGTAAGAATGTTTAATGTATAATGCATGAAAAAAAGTCATTGTTGAGTCCGTAGCTTGTGCATGTGTGCTTTCTATGCTGTGTATATCTAGTCGTTGGTGCCATTTTGAGTGCTTCTTGGAGCTTTCTTATTCTATCTATGTTTTATAAATTTATTTTTGAGCCGGGAGTTTCTTGAAACAACTGCTTCTCCGCTTTTTAGTAGGGTTAAGGTCTGCGTACACACACCCTCCCCATACCATACTTCTACGGGATTTTAATGGGTTTTGCTTGTTTTTTAGGTAGCTGCTTGTCAACTGAGTTGGGGGTCTAGCATTTAATTGTGAGGTAAACGGTAAACCTCACCTCTTGACAATCTTCTTGAAATGAGTTTGGCAAAATAGAATACTCTCTCTGTCCCAAAAGACCTTTTTACTTTCACTTTTCATCTGTACGAAAAATGCACTTCCACTTTTCATTAAATTCTACGGAGTATCTTTTACCCCTACTAATTATTAACATACCTATCACATCATATCTATTCACTATTAATCTACCCATCACATCCTATCATACCCTACTATAAAATAAGGGTAAAATTGGAAAGTAAAAGAAAAATTACACATTCCTTAAAACTCTTTTTTCCAAAGCGGAAAAGTTTTATGGGACGGAGGTAGTACATGTAACTAATAAAAACACAATAAAGGAGCCGAGGTTGTCGAACAAACCTTGGGGTCTGGATCAGGGACATCGACGTCAAGTAGAAGAAGATCTTTCCAGTTATCATCGTCATCCATTAGCTCATCTGCCCATTCTTGCCAATCAGCTTTCTTGGCAGCATAGTCATCTGATGACATCATCACACCCGCAAGTGTTTCAACCTGACCGTTTTGAACCGGAACACTCGTCGAATATTCATTAAAAAAACCATGGTTTCTGTCTCTGCTCCAATCATCAATGGTTCTATCCCGATTAGGAAGGTCTGGTTCTATTGAGGGCAGAACGGGAAAAGCAGACATCGGTCCAGAGACACCCATGCCCATAGTAGCTTCATATGATCTTTGAATAAACAATGTAGGGCGTGCGTTCATCTTAGCTCCATAAACACCGACAACTTAAACTGGTTAACTACACAAACCAAATCTGTTTCTCCTTTCAGCTTCAGAATTCGACTTGAAATTAGGATCAAATCTCACCTGGTAACCAAACATATTTACAGTTTGACTTCAAACGCGTGCTTAAGATTGATGGGCAAGAAAATCCATGAAAAATAAGTAGAGTTTGGGAAGGTGTATTTACATAGAGTTTACCCTACTTTAAAGTAATAAGGCTGTTTTGAAGAGAGACAGACAAAGTAAATATAGTAGCACAAACAAAGTAAGAGCACATAGACATGAAGCATACAAACTGACACTAGCCACTTGATCCAAAACACAGAAAGCATAAACTACCAACTAAATCTCAAAGATCTACCCAACTACTATATGCCTAAATCTCCAAATACTACTATCTATGGTCATAGCCTTGGTGAGATCACGAAGTCTGCAAACTAGGTTTTGTTTTGTTTCTAAGTGTACAGTACTCCCTCCCTTCCACAAAAACGTCCCATGTTTCTAGAGTTTCCACTTTTGCCTTTTGGAAAACAATGGATTTCACTTTCTTTAATCTCTGTGTCAGGTCAAACATTGAACGTTTTTGTGGAACGTAGGGAGTAGTGAAGTTATCATGGCAATGACTGTAAAATTACCAGCTCTGCCCAAATAATTAGCCTGAAAATTCCTTCTGCTACTATCTTCTCCAGTTCTCCTAAGAAAAGACCTCTAACAACAACAAAAAATTGAAAGAATATCCCAATTCTTCCAAACTCCAAGGATCAAAGTCAACAAACTAAAATCGGAATAAGCTTTGGAAACCCAACTTGTGACACCAAGCAAACACAAACAATAACTGTCTGCGCAAACGTGTCTGTGTTTGCCTTTAGTGTCAAAAGTGAAGTCACAAGTGGGGTTTTCCTAGCATTGCACAACTACAATTTTTTTCTGCTGCAGATTTTCTTTCCTTTCCAGAAACCCATTATCAGCCCAGTTCAGAAATCAAAAAAGAAAAATGAATCCAATTGAAAGATGATAAAGAGTGGAATTTGATACTGGAGAAATCGTGTTACCACAAGAAGCATTCATGTCAGAGAAATATATAGAAGTGGGTATGAACATAATTGAATCTTTTAGCATGAAAATGGAGGAAGACAAGAAAGGAAGATTAGAATTGAACCTTAAGAACAGGTGTCTCAGCAGAGTTCGGGCGGCGGCTGACGAATCGGAGACTGGGGAAGCTCCGGTGAGAGACCCAAGGAAAATTTGTGCTCCTCAGAAAGGACAAAAAGATTCGACTCAATCAATAATAGTGGTGTTTAATAGAAGAATTTATGGAAAAGGGCTGAAAAAGGATGGAATTTATGAGAATGCCCTCTTAGATCTAACAGAGATTGGCGTGAGGCGCGTCCTCTCTACTTGCGTAAAATGAGGGGAAATGACAGAAAGGCCCTTCCAAACAAGAAACAAAACGTCACTGTTTATTCCCATTACTTCAAAAAGTTAACGGAAATATTAAAATTAACGACGAGCCGTTAGGTTGCCTTCGAAGCGTCACGATGATTTTTAGAAAGGTCAAACGGCGTCGTTTGAAGCGCCAACCCCTCCTTAATACCCGACCAGGCTTCGGAAACGATACGCCTTCATCAATCGAAGCTCTTCTGCTCTTCGTTCTACATTGCTTAACGTCGTCGGATACCTTCAAGAACTACCACACATCTCTTTGCCATGGAGAACACCGGAGCAAGTAGCGGGTTCCAGTACAAGAGAAGAAGAATTCTAACCCAAACACAAAGGGAGGAGATGGAGAATGAAAACCAGGTATTTTCAAATAATTCTTACTTAAAATTAACCAATTTTTGTTTACCTGTTGAAATATTTGGGATTGGTGTCAGATTTCTGCTGAGGTAACTCCATCTGTGGATGGTCAATCGTTCCTGGATGCTGCGGAAATTGAGGTGCATTGCATGTACACTAAAATATAACATTTAAAGTATTTTGTTTGTTTTTTGAAACATTCGGACACAGATCAAGTTATTCGACCATGGAGATAATCAATATACTGTTACAGTAATTGGTTACAGTCGAATCTGTTTATTGATTAGTTCTTGAATTTAATTCTAGGTTCCAGCGTTGGATTGCACCATTGATATTGATAAAATACCTGGAATGAAGTTAACCCTGAAATCTTCTTTGGGGGAGTTCCAGAATCTGATGGAAGAAGGACTTGGAGATCATCCAGAAGTTCTTGATTTGTTTAGGACTTCCACCCCTTTTTCTCATTTTTTGGATGTTGAGTGTATTCCTCCTCCTCTGTTCCTATGGCAACTCATTGCGAGGGAAGCCAATATAAAGAGGAAAGGAGAGATGTGGTTCGTTTTCAAAGGAGTTCCTGTCAGGTACTCCTTGAGGGAGTTTTCACTCATTAGCGGCCTCAACTGCTCTCCCCTTAACGCCGGCTTTGAAAATTCCAAGGAATT